TTAAAAAGTCCTTGAAAGGGCTAGAGGGCTGCAAAAGGATGTAAAATGGGGGTAAGAGTAGGACAAGTGCCCTGCAAACAATTGGGGTAGCTTCCAAAATATTGGGACATATAAAAAAAGAAAACAAAGAATAAGTGCACTTGAGTATAACAATGGCTGGGTGAGGCCGGTATAAATGTCTATTCTGCACAAGGTACAGACAAGTCTGGTGGGATCCAGATTAATGAACGTGAGCTTGTCCATGTTGGTTGTGGACAGGCGGCTGCACTTGTCTGTGATAACGCCCCCTGCCGTGCTAAACACACGTTCAGACAATACACTGGCTGCAGGGCAGGCCAGCACCTCCAAGGCATAAAGGGCACGCTCAGGCCATGTGCCCAATTTAGAGACCCAGAAGTTGAATGGGTCAGACCCATCAGTCAGTATGTGTAGGCGTGTACTGTTTCACCATGTTGCTGAAATGCTGCCTCCTGCTAAGACGTTCCATATCAACTGGTGGTGCTGGTTGTTGTGGCGTGCTGACAAAGCTTTTCCACATTTCGGCCATGCTAACCCTGCCTTCTTAGGTGCTGGCGGAGCCCCAGCTGCATTGGCGATCTCTTCCTCCTCCTCTGTTTTCGCCTTGTGCTTCCACCGAGACCCCGGAGTCAGGTGGGAATGCCTTCAGCAGCGCGTCTACCAGCGTGCGCTTGTAGTTGCGCATCTTCCGATCACGCTCCAGTGAGGGAATTAAGGACAGCAGTTGTCCTTCTAATGGGGATCCAGCAGGGTGGCCCCCTAGTAATCAGCACATGTTAGAATGTGGGAAAATCGGCAATCGTTGCGCAGGCACTTTGGTGACTCTAGATAACCTCTGCCCTATCAACTTTTGATGGTACTTTCTGCGCCTACCATGGTGACCACAGGTAACGGGGAATCATGGTTCGATTCTGGAGAGGGAGCCTGAGAAATGGCTACCACATCCAAGGAAGTCAGCAGACGCGCAAATTATCCACTCCCGACGCGGGGAGGTAGTGACGAAAAATAACAATACAGGACTCTTTCGAGGCCCTATAATTGGAATGAGTACACTTTAAATCCTTTAACGAGAGAGGCGGTCATGACGTGGTAACGCTATGACGGAAGAGGAGGGGCTACCGTGATGGAGTGAGATTGAGTGTGATAGAGCTCCGGCAGGATAGCCGACTAATGAGAGACACCTGGGTTTGTTCGCATTAAGGTTGGGACTCGCAACACGGCGCTTTGCCAGGCTGAAGCCTCGGTTGAAAGACGGGAATAAATTGCTGATACGAGAGGCCTCAGAGAGCCAGCAGCATTTCCCACCAAGATTTGAACAGCACTTATAAAATCTGCGCTCTGGTGCGAACTGTCTATGTTGGACAGATAGGATTTGAATAAACCGGACATAATAAATCTGCAATTACAAAATCACAAAGTTTTGGTCGGTTACTGCAAAAAACTGGAGCTGGCAAAGTGAAAGACACTCCTTCAGATAAGTGTTAAACTTCATCTTATCTTTATGGTTGGTTTAACATTGTAATATATTATGAATAATAATATCAGCATTGCCCTGAAAAAGAAAGAGATAAAAATAAGATTGAGAGGAGAGAAAGGAAAAGCAAAGGAATATCAAAGAAAACTGAGTTGTGGTGCTGGGTAAAGAGCAAAGAAGGCAGAGGGAAAAAATCTAATTTGGAGATAAAGTAAAGCTGAAGGAAACTCCCAAATTTAAAGGGGACTAAGTGAAAGAGAGAAGACTCTGCAATAATATGGCTAATAGAAAACCTCAAGAAGCATAAGGAACATTAAAAAAGATAAACAACAGCAACATGATAAGAGTGTAACAAATTATTTCTCTCCCCAACAACAGAAAGATCAACAAAGGGTTAATACCCAACAAAATTTGGATATATCTAATACAGGCTCAGATAATATGGAACCAGAAGATAAACTCAATGTGAGCTTACAAAACAATTTGTTAGAAATAAAAAAAGAAATACACAAGAATTTAAACAAGAGATTAAACACAAAATTAACCAATTAATGATAAAAGTCCAAAATTTTGAAGATAAATTGGTTGAAATAGATTTTCAGATTAATAAGTTAAAAGAAGTCAACGATAAAATTAAAGAACAAGTTGCTTCCCTGGAATCAAAGATAGATGACTTGGAAGATAGATCATGAAGAAAAAAACTCTGTTTTAGGAATTTAGATGAGCTAAATGATCAGCAAGATCTAAAAGGAATTTTGAAAGAATTGTTTGTTGAATTAACACTTAAAGAACATGAAGACATAATAGAAAGATGTCATAGAGTCTTTAAACCCCAAAATATTGAAAAATCCTTTCCTAGAGATGTGATCGCCTGTTTTTATTCCTTTGACTTTAAAGAAAGAGTATTGAAGGCTTTTAGACAGAAAGCAAATAAAATAGGACGCTTCCTAAAAGTAATAATAATGCCAGACATATCGTACAATACCCGTATGAAAAGAAGAGCCTTCAATCCAGCAATTCAGATCTTAAGAAGGCATGAGATAAGATATAGGTGGTCTTTTCCAGTGAAATTAATCCTTACCTATGACAGCCGTTCTGAAGTCTTTGAGACACATGAGAAATTAACAAATTGGCTAACACTTAAGAAATTGGTTTAACCAAAATCTATGTATTAATTATGTTTGCTTCTTCTTTTTTTTTAGATAAATATATGTGACACAGAAGGGTATTTTTAAAAATGGTATGGTGAATGCACTATTGAAGATGTTGAACTACACTTAATTCTGAAGTACATTATATCTGAAGTAAGAATAGACAAAATCAATTTGCTACTCAATTAAAATGAAGATAAGATAGTAAATAATAAAATTAAGGGTTCTAATGATAAGACAGTATTTTTTTTTTAAATGGTATGGTAAATGCACTATTGAAGACGTTGAATTACACTTAAAATTATACCTGAAGTAAGAATAGACAAAATACATTTTGCTACTCAATTAAAATTAAGATAAGATTGTAAATAACAAAATTAAGGGTTCTAATGATAAGAAAAAAAATGTTTTTCCTTCTTCTCCTTTCTCACAAATTTTAGATAACTATATGTGACACAGAAGGGTATTTTTAAAAATGGTATGGTGAATGCACTATGGAAGACGTTGAACTACACTTAATTCTGAAGTACGCTATATCTGAAGTAAGAATAGACAAAATCAATTTGCCACTCAATTAAAATGAAAATAAGATAGTAAATAACTAAATTAAGGGTTCTAATGATAAGAAAGTAATGTTTTTTTTCTTTTTTGTAAGAATATATTGACACAGAAAGGTTAATTTTAAAGGGTAGACTATTTTAGACAACAGAGAATTTACAAATAGCAGATAATGATGAATTGCACTATGGTTGATGTTGATTTGCATTTTAAAGACGGATGTATAAATTAGTTTAAATTCAAGGGAATTTCACAGGAAAGTTAATGTCAATTTTGTTTTGATGAATTAAGATTTAAAACATGACTGTAAAACAAAATATTAATGGTTAAATAAGAAAAGGATTATCCTAAAATAGTTTAAAATATAAATGATGAAGTGATTGAGTCAATTAGGGATAGAACCACCTATAATAAAGACCTAAAGCAATATAGGCAACAATTAATTACCTCGCTAATGAGATATGAAGAAAGATAATATAACATAGAGGTACCTACATTTCTCCACTCCATTTAAGGTATGCCCCACTTTCTGTAGTAACACTACAGTTTTCTTTGTAGCTAAAGTAGTTACAAAGACAAAAGAGGAAGTATGTCCCAAAAAGGTTATGTATGGTTCAGGACTGTAGACTATTCTTGGGTCTGTCAGCCTGATATGAATGTTTTAAATGTTTTTTTGTGTAACTGTACTTAAAGAACGGGGAGAGGGATTGTTGAATATTGGTTGGCTTAAATGTTCAGGATAATGTCAGTAAATATTCAGGGGTTGAACACTGTTGTTAAAAGAAACAGGTTATATCATTCGTTTAGACAAAAAAAATATTCAAATCAGTTTTTTACAAGAAACGCATTGGTTACAAAATATGCCTCAGAAATGGGGAGGAGATAGATTCCCTCTAATCAAACATGTATCTTTAAATAAAAAGAAAAGACGTGTTGCAATAGTGTTCTCTAGAGAGATTGCGGTAGTTATTAACTATCAGGAATCTGATGAATCGGCCAGATATCTAATTTTGGTGTGCGAAATAGATAAGACTCCCTACACCTTGGTAAATATATATCTACCAAACGTGGATCCGATCTCAATGTTAACCAAGATAATGAATAGGGTACAGAACATAATGAAAGGCACATTGATTATAGCCAGGGATTTTAATTGTGTAATGGACCCTAAGTTAGATAAAATATCACAAGGCAACCCAAAGAGTGATAATAGAACTATAAAACAATCTGAGAGATTAATCGCCCTCTGTAAAAGGTATGATCTATACGATGCATCGTTTTCAATGCTTTCCTATGGGGAGCGCTAATGAGCATGCGTGGCAATGCCTTTAGGTCTCCCCGGCCGGTGGGCGGGATCAGTCTCGCCCACCGGCCAACGCAGTCAGAAGGAGGAGCGGTGCGAAGGGAGAAGCAGCAACGTTGGACATCATCGCTGCCTCAGGTAAGTTACTGAAGGGGTTTTCGTCCCTTCAGCAACCAGGGATTGAGGGGTGGGAGGGAGAGGGAACCTGCAGTGCCAGGAAAACGGATTGTTTTCCTGGCACTGGAGTTTCCCTTTAACCCCTTAAGGACACATGACATGTCTGACATGTCATGATTCCCTTTTATTCCAGAAGTGTGGTCCTTAAAGGGTTAATGTAAAAACAGAAGAAGTAATTAAAATAAATACAAATAAACTGAAATGAAACACTTATTACACGGGGAATCGTGCAAATAAAAACTTAACTAGAAAATTGCATCTATATCTAGATATAGAGTAGAAAAACTTGAGGATGATCAAATGATCTATACCTCCCCAGAACAAATTGGACAAAAATTTAATAAAATTTACCAGGAATTATATAATTTAAATTTAAAACCCAAAAATATAGAAATACAAAAGTATTTAACTAATACAAAACTTACGAAGATGTTAGAAGAAGATCTCTTAATATTAAATCAAGCAATTTCTTTAGAAGAAGTTGACAAGCAAATTAGTAAACTAGAACTAAATAAAACCCCAGGACCTGAAGGGTATACAAATTTATATTATAAATTGATGTAATCCATACTGATCAAACCACAGATTTCTTTGATGAGTTTGTATTAAATAACAAAATTCCTAAAGAATTACTTCAATCAAATATTCTTCCTATTGTAAAACCAGGTAAAGATAGTAGAAATGTAGAAAATTACAGACCAATCTCACTAATCAATGTCGATTTTAAATTATATGCCTCAATTATTGCCAAAAGACTGAAAAATATTTTCCCAAAAATAATACATACAGATCAAACCGGTTTTGTACCGAGAAGGTCTACAACCAACAGTGCCAGAACAATTTTGGATTGTAGCAGAACCCCTTTGGCTGTCCAACTTATTTCCTTGTTATGGTTACATACAGGGAGTGCAGAATTATTAGGCAAATTAGTATTTTGACCACATCATCCTCTTTATGCATGTTGTCTTACTCCAAGCTGTATAGGCTCGAAAGCCTACTACCAATTAAGCATATTAGGTGATGTGCATCTCTGTAATGAGAAGGGGTGTGGTCTAATGACATCAACACCCTATATCAGGTGTGCATAATTATTAGGCAACTTCCTTTCCTTTGGCAAAATGGGTCAAAAGAAGGACTTGACAGGCTCAGAAAAGTCAAAAATAGTGAGATATCTTGCAGAGGGATGCAGCACTCTTAAAATTGCAAAGCTTCTGAAGCGTGATCATCGAACAATCAAGCGTTTCATTCAAAATAGTCAACAGGGTCGCAAGAAGCGTGTGGAAAAACCAAGGCGCAAAATAACTGCCCATGAACTGAGAAAAGTCAAGCGTGCAGC